ATCAATCCATTTTCTAATGACTTCCTCCAATCAATCAATCAAAGTTTATGACATGCACAACAATACAGCATGCAGCAGTAGTTGCTGGCAATTGAATGTCTTTTCTGCAACCTCACCGGAGGAGGGTAAAAATAAAAAAGTAAAGTTAAAAAGTAAGGTTACATAATAATACATAATAGTGCAATAGAAATTGAATGAAGTAAGCTCAGACAGAGCTCAACACAAATAGAGCAGCGATGTGTCCAGGGTGTATGCAATATATTATGTCTAAGTAGTGCAGTATGCCGAATACAATGAAAACTGTTTGTCCATGTTGCCATTATGGATGATTTTCTGAAGAAACTGCAGCTTGGCTATTTGGTAGTCTTGGTAGTCTTATTGGCTGGAGGTAGAAGCCAATTCACAGTACCAGCACAGGTTTTCCCAGAAGACAATTAACCTACATGTTTGGTTTTTGGACTGCTGGAGGATACCCTAACACCCAGAAGAAACTACATAAACACAGGCAGAACATACAAACTTCCTGTAGATAGCAGCCCAGGTCTAGAATTGAACCCAGGGCCTCAGCACTGGGAGGGAGCAATGCTAACCATGGCACCATTGTGCCATCCACTGTGTAAGTGAAAATAATCAAAATAAAAAATGTTGCGTCTTGCACAAAATAGGACCAAGGTTTGTTCGGTGAAAGTGATGATGGTGAGGAAATATAAGAAGCACTCTGATCTACTCCTGAAGAAACTGCCAAGGTAAGGGCTGTCAAGTGCGTATGCTTAACAAATAAGTATTTGTCCTGAACGTATTTGTTATGCAAATCCTATCCTATTCCTCTTAGGTGTGAATGGAAATAAAATGTTGTTTGTTAGCTATTTCAAATAATATTGAGTTTATCTCAGAAGAGCAGATAAGCTGAGTGCAGAAGAAGTATTAATTCAACATGATTTACTGAATCATGTTTCTCGGTAACAAATTCTTGCTATACAGTCATTGACAAAGGGCATGAATTAAGAGTCCTGCAAAGATCAAGCATTTTTTTCGACACTGTTCATTCTGTAACAACTTCAATGATATATTTTCAAAGCGTTAGCAGATTGTGTTCATGAACAGATTTTATTTGAAACTCCTTTGCTACTACAGCTGTAGTTATAATTTTGTAGACTTTAAATGCTGCTTTTAGAAATTTCCCCCCAACAGGGTAGAGAAATTTAGATTAGACAACAGTGGAAGTGCAGCAAATTAAACAAGCTGGTTAAATCATCTGCAGTAGACACACTTTGAAATTATACACTTTACTGTGGAGCAGGAGAAGACAGGCATTGTTCCCAGTTACTTAAAAAAAATCTTTTTCTTCAACATTCATTCTAATGTTATTAGATAAACGTCTACTTCAATCTTCTTAAATTGCTGCAATTGCTCATTCCTCTGCTACATTTCAGACAAATTGATACTTGCTGCACTGGTATTTGCATATTTCACCTGTTTTGAAGCTTCTTCTCTTATTGTCTTCTCTTATTCCCATACTTCCATTGAGCTTGGTTTTTTACCTTCTTTGATGTGATAACAGTTTCTGCAAATCAATACATCTGGACACCTGATTTCATAACGTATTTAGGTACTGTAGTCAAGTGATGCCCTTCCATGGTGAATTTGATCAATTGACAGACTAAAGTAATAAAATCTTCTAAAGTGGCAAACAGTGTGAGTTTGCAGCTTTTTAATTTAACTGTAGCACAGAACCTTAAGGTATTACTTGTTTGTAAACCATTTTAGTTAACTGGAGAGAATCAAGAGCTCCAAGGAAAATCAGGTTGCTATTATAAGTGGTGTTTGTAGATCAGTAGGTGACACTCTACCCTCTGCATCAAAATTTCTAAATTAATGCCTTATTATGATGACCAGGAACACTTTGCTATAGGAAGAGCTTTCCATCAGATGAGACCTTAAGTGGTCTTGAGTATACTTTCATTAAAAGACCAGAATTAAGGTCTTGACTATACTTTCATTAAAGTTGTAAAGGCTCAAGAGTAGGGATACCTTTTTTCTTGAAATCTTAAACTACGGTACACAGACACATATGCTCTTTACTCTGTCAATTTAAAGTTGGAAATCTGAAATATAAGTAAGATCTCATGGGTTACAGTCAATAAATCAAATAAGACAACAGAATGTTTCAACTAGTGACAACATTTTAATTACAGTATGTCTTTCACTGAACACAATTATAACTATTATCCATAGTAAACAAATATGAGTAGATTTTTGTAAATAGACTGAAGAAATAGTGGTTTTGTACCCTAATACCTCAAATGAAGGTAATCTTAATGACATACACAGTATTAATTTGTATTTAATTAGTGTCCCGAGGTTTTAAAGGATATTCATTTTATCACCTGGTTAAATTCCAATAAAGATTTTTCTAATCTCATTAAAACAGCTAGGTTAGCAACCGTCTGTCTGCACAGTCTTGTTCTGTTGGGAATTCACAATGAATAAAACCAATTTCTTAATTTGTTAAGTTCACCTAGTAATAAACAATCAAATTAACCCCTTGCACTCTTCTGCAGCAAAAATAAAATCTGTTGTAAACAGGGTGGCAAAAGGTGGTTACTACAGGGATTAAAATATTGTTTGCATTTTATGCACATTTTTCCATTAGATGCTTCCCACAGCAGCACAGCATGATTAAAAGATTGTCACAGTTAATTTAGTGCTTCAAAACCACCTGAGTTCCAGCATTTCAGATATAATAGTCGTTCTTTTGTATTCATGGAAGATTTCAGCTGCCTGTCTACACTACAGCAAAGGCTTGAGTGGCTATTATTGTCACAGACAGTTATTGACCGTGTTCTTGATTGCAGAAAGAGATAATGACAATTTGATAAAGAGCACATAAGTTTACCGTCATGAGAAGAGCATGCATTTGCATGTGAAGTTATAATAAAGCTGAGAATAACTGGATCAGATTCAGTGATATAGATGCTTAAATCTCAATTGCTCCCTATGTGAACTGAACCTTCTAAGTGTTTGTGATGCAGGACCCATAATGTCATAAACTGGGATTAAAATGTTAATTTGTACACTAAGAAAGGAAACCCCATGATATTTAATACTTTAAGTATTAAAATGACTAAAGAAAACTTCCTTTCTGCCAAGTGAAATGGAACATATGTAGAAATAAAGAAAATAAAAAGAGAATGACATGGATGTTTAGAAAAAACAGCAGGAAGTTGTGTAGTCAAACAGCAATGGAGTACAAATAAAACAAAAAGTGTTTTACAGTATGTTAATGATAAAAAGGAAAATAAAACAGGACATAATAACTGAGGGAAAACTACAAATTGATATAATGAACATTTTGGTCAGATGTCATAAGAAAGGATTTAAACAGCTTACCAAAGATAACAGAACATGCACAATTAAAACTGCTGGATTCTGAAATTTTCCTTCAAATTCCTAGGTGTTTACATCTCTAAGGACCTCACATGGGCACTCAACACCTCCAGTCTCATCATGAAGGCACAACAGCGGCTGTACTTCCTGGGAAGGCTGAAGAAAATACACCTGCATCCACGGATCCTCACCAACTTCTACAGATGTACGGTGGAGAGCATACTGACCAATTGCATCATAGTCTGGTACGGCGACTGCACCTCATCTGACCGTAAGGCACTGTAGAGGGTGGTCAAAACAGCCCAACACATCATCTGCAGTGCCTTACCATCCATTCAGGAAATCTACAACACCAGGAGTCTGAAAAAAGCCACCAAAATTATGTCCGTCCCCAAACACCCCAATCATAACTTGTTTGTCCCCCTACCATCTGGTAGAAGGTTCCAGAAGCTCAAGTCGCACACAACAAGACTCCAAAATAACTTCTTCCCCAGAGCCATCAAGCTGGTGACGCCCCCACTCCCTCCCATGATACTATCATCTCTCCTCACTTCTTCCTGTACCCACAATGACTGTACTACCACACCACTACATACACGACAACTGAGTGCAAGACAAAATTGTACTTAAAACTGTACTAGTTGTACTATTTAATAATCGTTGTATTATTTTTGCACTGTTCAACATATTACTTTTGCACTATTTTTGTCCTGTTTGTATACTTCTCTCTGTTTGCATATTTGCACAGTTTTTAACAATTTTGCACTGGCACCACACTGTTGTTTACACTGTTATTGTTATTGTATTTCTGTCTATTTTCTGGTCTACTGTCCTATTTATATACCACACCTGAGAGACTAATGAGAAACACGTTTCACTATACTATGCAACCGTGTAAGTATAATGACAAATAAAGTTTAATTTGATGAATTTATGATGTGTTCAATACACTTTGAAGGGACTAATATTTCTTTGCTGAAAGAAGTGAAACACACAGAGCCATTATTTACCCTGGGGTAACCATTTAATGTAAAGTTCTTAACAACTTGGACATGCAGTGTCAGATTAGAAATTAAAGATAAACACTAAGTAGTAAACAAAAACATTAAATCTGAATCTGGGAATTGTGAAAGATTGCAAGATCATTCTCCAAAGCTGTCTAGTAAATGTAGTTCAGACAACATTCACAATCCTGTCTGAGCTTGCTACCTTCGGACAGATGTTACTAGCATTAAAGATGGTCATGTTCTGAAGAACTGTTTAAAATATTATATATAAATGTATATTGCAATTCATAAATATATTGCTGTTAGAATGTTTTATATTTGCGTCAACACCATACTAAATTAATGAATGAATTTGAGATATCTTTGCAGTACACATAACACAGCTAAAGAGAGTGCAATGAACAGAGAAGACAGAATGCCTTGCAAACAATTGAGAAGGTGTTTTTCAATATAATGAAAAGTTCAGAATTTTACAGAGACAGGTTGCACCAGTAAACATTCTTTCATTAATTGCAGATAATTATTTGAGATTGATTAAACCATAAATGAGGGAAATTATGCCACAAATTGCAGGCCTGATTGTATAATTTCTTTATTATTACTCACTGGAACTGCAGCATAACAGGCTGGTTATTTATCTGAAGTCTTCATCTTCTGTTGGCTAAAGACATGTTGGGTCCCTTCCAAACATCTGTTCTCACTACTTGATTATTTCCTCTCTAAGCTGCAAAAAAAAACCAAAATCAGTTGTTGTACAATAACCACGAAAGTAATATTTTCTTCTAATTTAACTCAGAATTAAGTTGGAAATTTCACAGGTTGTTATTGTTAATAAACTGGAACTCAAAACTATTAAAACATTAAAATGGCTATAGTCCAGCTAATTAAGGGATATGGAACATACAATCAATTAGATCTTATTATGTGATGCCATTGTAGAGGAGTGTACAACAGAACTAATTTTCATTTTTTATTTTAGCAAACGCTTAGACCAGAGCAACGTCATGATAAGACCTTGATTTTCATAACAAACTCAAATTGTCTTGGGTTGTAATGAAGTTTTGAATTGAGCAAAATGATGCGGTCTCTACGGAGGTGATATTATCTCTGCTTCCTGTGGTAAGGAGCCTGGCCTGTTTAATTAACTGCTTTGAAAGCAGGCCCTTGGATCGGAAACATAAAAGCTTGATGCCTGTATAACATAAATGAGTGCGTAGGAAACACAATGATCACAGGGAGGATATTCAATTGCATCAGTCACAGCATTGCCTCATCTATAGCCATTGCTGATAGTTTCCACATTGATGTCTAGCAAAGGCATAACATTTCCTTTTAAGTAAGATTCACTTTCCAGTAACATAATTCATGGTACATTCCATTCTCCTGTGAATGTGGTCTTCCAAGGAATTTAATTTATTTAAGCACACAGGATTTGAGGGATCTGTGGGATTTGTAATGAAAAAAAAAACTGCCGTAACAGGCTTCCTAAATAATAAGTCATTTATGTATTTATATGAGATACACACCACTTGAAAAGGAAAATGTATCATATGGCCAACAATTCTGTTTACACTGCCTGTATGCTTATTGTTCTTAAGGCTCACATGTTCCTATTAACTTGGCACGTTGGACACATTTTGTAAACCAGACCAAATGTTGATACATACTTATAGTAGTAGCCCGAATAGTTACCACTGTATGCTTCCTATTTCAGACTGTAGTCAGACTTCAGAGCTTGCCAAACAGGCACCAGTCTGGAATCTTCTTATTTCATTATGTCATTTCAGTTTAAATGTGACATTGAGAAATGAGAACGGATTGTCTTCTATTGGAGATAATGATGAAATTGCAAAGCAGGAGAAGCATTAGCAGCACTGGTGAGGGGACTGTAATGTCATTAACTTGTTGTGCAAGAATAAAATTCTTTTTTTTTTGGTTTAAAAGATATTCAGCTAATTAATCAGGTCATGTCCAGCATCATTTTCTGTATATGTGCTTCCTGTTTTCTCCAAAGTAAGGAATTAATAAAAATACCTATTTGGTATGTTAACTTAAATCTGGATGCACTGGCCTAGTGATAGTCCATGAGTTTCTGCCAGGGTCTTTTTGATGTGCGTTTACACAATTAAAACTGTCATCTACAGATGCTGTAATCTACTGTACATATGATTAGTGGATGGTTTGACTTAATCCTGCCTTAACTTTAACATACAGATTTGTTTATGCTCTGCCTCTGCTTTCTTTGCAAAGAAACAATTGCAAAGAACAATTATAAATCTGTATAGTTTCCATAAGTAATTCAATACACAAGACTGTATATAATAAACATGCTTACCTGAAGCATCAGGAATTAATCTAAAATATTGACATTTTCATGAAAGAATAAGCATTTCTTTACAAATTGCTCTGTATTGTAGTCATTAATAGCTACTTACTGCAGAATATTCAATTTAGGACTTTTTTTTTCAAAGCCTTATTTTGATATGTAGATTTATGTATTTATACATTTAATACAGTGTTTTATCCATCCATTTTCTAAACATTTCATCTGATTCAGGATCACAGACAAACCATACTGTGTTTTATCCTTAATGGTAAATTCTCCTTTGTCAATGATTTGGAGATGACCAATCTTTTTACAAAGGGTGCAAAGAATATAACTAAGGAGAATTCTGCAAATTATTCAGTAATATTTTCATTTTTTTCCCATAACAGGTCTGTCTACTTATATGTACAAAAAATACACTGACAAATTACCTTCAGAATGTATTCCATTTAAAAATTAATGTCATAGGCAAGCATCTTTTCTATTTCAACAAAACCTATTAGCATTTTTTTTGTGATGAAGGACAATAATTTATCTTTAATGAATCTACTTCAAACCCACAAACCTTAAATGATTAATACATTTTGAAATAACCAATATCCTGACTTTTTAGTTGCATAATGAGAGATTTTTAATGTAACAAGCCAGTCTACATGACCATCTTTTATTCTGTATTCTGAATTATGTTATTTTATTGTTATTACTGTCATATCTTGTTGTATCTGTCCTTAACTATACTGTTATGAAACATTTGGGAATTGTATCTGTTCTGTGAACCTTTAAGTTCACAATTCACCACTTGATTTGAATTTTGCAATACTAATTACAGAATAATTACCGTATGTGTTGAAACACATATCAAAAAGCATGAAGCAAGTAAAGAATAACACATTGAAATAGAGATATTAAGAAAAAACAAAAGGCCTCATAATATTGAAAACTAGTCTGTTTTCATCAACAATTAGATAATGAATAATTCAATACAATATAAATACAAGATTAATGACCAAAGATATATATATATAACATAATAAATATCAGAATAGACTTTTAACCCATTCAACCTCGTATAAAATATATGATGGTTGAACAAAATGTTGCCCACAATCAAAAAGACCTTCCTGGCTGTTGTGGTGAGAACACTACTGTTCATAGGAGAAAAAATTAAAACTGACTGAAAGAGTGAAAATAAGTCAGAACACATGATTGTGAAAGATAATTATTTGAAAAGATGTAATTTCAAGAGAAATACAAGTAATGACTGGAAGTACAGTATATGGTGAGAGAAATATGACAACAACAGTCATTAACACATACAGAGAGCCTAACTGAATTAAGCAACAAAAGAAAACACTTATGTCCTGTTTCTAGTCTGTGTTTTTCTTTCCACCAATTTCATCTTTCATCCAAAGTTCAAAACCATTTCCAAATGTTCCTCCAAGAATAACTTTGCCAAAAAAACTGAAATCCTTCCTACTCAACTCGCTACTCTGATGGTTAGGTTATGTTTTGGTATCTTTAACACCTGCTCAATTAGCCCCCTTTCTACCTATTTTTATATGAAATCCAATTTTCTCAATGGGGTTTGTTTTTCTATTGGTCACATCTGTAGTGATGCTTTCACCTTTAAGAAGAGAAAATTCTTATGACCTTTAATTTTCCAGCAATCAAATAAGGCCTCCCTTTCATTTGAAATGTTTTTTTTATGATCACATACTGTAACAAGCTGAATTTAATAAAGATAAGATACAGTAAACTGGACTTAAATACTAGTCGATTGGGCCCCTTTGAATTAAAATTTGTCTCTTCAGTTTTGTATTAGTTTATATATAGTTTATAAAGGTTTACATAATATCATAATATAATAAAGCAATATTACCTGTCACAGGGTAAATTGAATCTAAAATTATTCATCCTATTCATCTAAGCCTTCTTATTTAAATGCCATACATATGCATGGAGGTTTATTCACATTAAAGTATTTTTACACTTTAACGAGACATGCAAGAAGACAGTCTGTGTATTTATAGAGCATTATTTTGGATAAAATAAAGTACAGTCTCATAATACACACATATTTATGCTTTCTGTAAGCCAGTAATCTATTAATCCCCTTTTGATGTGGCTTAAAGAAAAATATACAGTAGTCCAAAGCATGATCAAAGTAAAATTTGAACAGGTCTTTCCTGTCTTATCCAATTTTCCAAAATCTAATAACTCCATTAAGGGATACCTACACTGGTATGCTTGATTAAGAATTGCACTCTGACCTTGAGATCCAACAGGGTTACTAGTGCGTATGTTAGGTCTTGGCATTTTAAACTGACAAAATAATCAGAAGCAAATAAATCTTGGGACCAGTTACCTTTTTGTTATGCTCACTATGTTTTAGGAAATTGTGTCAATTGTGTCATGGCTAACAGCTACACACCTTACAACCACACACAGATGAAAATGAGAAAGAGTAGGCAGATTGCTCCAACCTGTTCACCTTCAAAGCGGCTGTGTTTTTAATACATAACAGGCACCACTGCCCCATAATACAGTTCACTGCCAAATGGAGGATTGGCATGTTCCTTACCAACAGCAACATAAACTTGCAAGCACCACAGGAAGCTTCAGGGGTCACTGCGTTTGCCAAGAGCTGAGAAATCCCCAGCCAACTATTCCCATCCTCCCCTCAGTATCACTCAGAAAACTGTGCACCATCACTTGAGGAATCCCTGTCTCAGTCAGCTAGTGACATGAAACCAAAACACCTGGATCACAGAATGAAGCCTGTGCTTATTTGGGGCATTAAATAGTACTCTGAAAGAAAACAAATACACCTTATTTAGGCTCAAATCACTGACCTACAGTATGGATGTTCCCTAGGTTCACATACTGTATAGATGTGACACCCGGACTCTGGTTCAGACGTTCCAAACAACACAAAGAAGCACGGAGAGGTGGATTGCACAATGGGAAAACAACCAATGTGAAAATGAAACAAACCAAAAGCTTGTGACAATATTGGGAGATGGCAAAATTGCTTGACAGTTAGTAAGAAGATTGAAGCACTTTGGGTTCTGAATTAGATTCCAAGGGACAAGAGGAAAGCCAACACAGAAGCCAAATGGAAGACATAACCTGGAAATTAAGAAGTCTGTTCCTGAGACATGGATGCAAAGAGCGGTAGATGGAGATCTGTGGAGAAACCCTTCCAGCAGTGATGATAATGATGATTATATACATGATAATTAAGAAGTGAGTTAATCACATGAATGCCTTTTTATTCAGACATATTGAAAACCTACAGTACTTTCAAATCTCAATTCTTCTACATTAATCTTATAATAGTAAACATACTGTACTGTAAGAAAAGATAGCCAAGCACCACAGAAAATGTTTCTTTGAAA